CTAGCTGTCCCATGTACATACCCACAGGGTCTGGGCAGGTTTGTACTTGGGGCAGCTAGCCCATTCTAGGCCTCCCTGTACTACAATACTTATTTTTCACACTACCATGTCTATTGGAGTTGGTAATCAACTGATGAAAGATATCTAAGTGCTACATAAACTCCTGACCAACTGTATAGTAAAAAAGAGATACCACAGACCTTATTCATGTCTGTTAGGATTATTAAAAGCAGCAGGATTTGGCCTTATATTTGTAATCCCCTCTTCACCCCAGAGACACTGGAATGATAGACATCCAACTGCATACGTATAAAATGTATCTTAAGAAGTGTCTGTCAAATCAATTAACAGGCCTTAAAGTTTATCCAAATCTGTTTGCTGAAAGACAGCCTATTCAAATACACAGGTGCCCTGAATCAGACCCATTCAATCTTAGTTTGGGAATTCCTCACTGTTTGGTTTAAAGACCCCAGATTATAGCTGGTTGTACTTCAGGCCTCCAATTAATGCTGCTCCCCAGTGGAAATAAATTAGTGCTGGACCACCCCCAATGAGGCAGTTAATAATCATTTAGCACTTCTGAATTTTTTTTTCAAGCCCTGTTAAAGAATCCTAATACCTGAGCATTTCTGCAAATGCTTTAAAATTAACCAAAAGTTTTAGACTATTCTTTTCTGTCTGAAAAGCATTTTGATGAGAAGTGCTAAATGATTAATTAATTAGCATAATTCCTATTGTCATTAATGGCAGTTGTCTGCCTATACAGGGAGGAAAAAAACTTCATGAAATAGTAGTATAAATACTTTATAAAAATAGATTTCAGTTACACAGTATCTTTATTGTACTGCTCACTTACAAAGGGTAGGTTTCCAATGTTACTCTGATAACCATAAGTAACCCTGCTCCTCTCTTTTGAAGAATTATGACATACAGGGACACAATCAACTCAAATCCCACTTATATTTCACTTGTATTTACTGTTACACGCCATGCGCAAGATTAGTATAACAAAGGTTACAGAAAAAGATCTACATATACACAAAATTAAAAAGCCTGAAAATTTACAGTTAAACTGTCTCCCCTGCATACTTTAGTCTACTCCTCTTCTATATGTGGGCCTCTCACACAGCAACACAAGAGAGTAACATACTTAGTCTTTTTTTTTTTCTAAACCACAAAAACTGGCAGGGAGTCCCAGTTGCAGTATCTGAGAATACTTAACTATATTACAAGTTGACTTGCCTTTCAACTCTATGTATGCATATACATTAAATATAACCACTTCTCAGCAAAACATATTACTACTTCACATAGTAAATTCAGTTTTTACACCAAAATCAGCAGAAATGTCAGTGATTGCTACATGCTAAGCCAAGCAGGGGCTTGTGTAAATAGCTTAATTATTCATTTTTTTCAATTTGCACTGACCCTCTCCTGCTCCCCCTGACCCCGAGCCACCTCTTGGATTTCCTTGTCTCTTTGCTCTCTCAGATCTCAGAGTTCCTTCAGAGCTGATAAGAATGTCACCATTTAGAGTGATACTATATTTTGAAGACCGTATATGTTTTAATATCTGATAGTCAACAAAATAACGATTTGCATACCTGGGAAAACAAATGTATATTCTACAACTGAAGTGGAGAAAATCTGTCACGTAATAAACTATATGCTTGATTCTCTCTCTCCCTGCACACCTGTCACACTGAAAATAGCTTATATTTATGCAATAAGACATCATGTGAACTAAACTGAATTACTTTACAGCACCGCAATGATCATTGAGAGAGCATACACCACAGTGATTTTCTTAGATCACCACAAACCGTTTCTGCTGGTCTATCATCTCTGATTTTCAGTCTTATTAGTTTATTAGCAATTACCAGCTATCAGAAGACACTTCAACACTAACATAAGAAAGTTGAAAGCTGAATACATCTATGTATGTTATGTCCTCCAAAAGAAATGAACTGAACATGTATTTTTATGTGAAGCATATCACTCTTGAAAAGTACATCCTACATTTACTGTAATTACAAAGGCATTAATAAAATGGACATGACAGGGTCCAGTTAGGATGCCAGCTAAGCATTTTTCTCAACACCAATATTTCTCTTAATATGAGCACTGAATTTATTTTCTGATTTAAGCATCTTGGTTGAATTTGATGTCCCCCCACTTAAATTTAGTTAATATGGCTCACTGACTACAACTGCTGACTAATCAAGAAAGGCTTTAATAGAGCTCTGAAGTGAACTCACTCTATTTCAGGGGTCGGCAACCTCTGGCACGCGGCTCGCCAGGGTAAGCACCCTGGCGGGCTGGGCCAGTTTGTTTACCTGCCGCGTCGGCAGATTCGGCCGATCGCGGCTCCCACAAGCCGTGGTTCGCCGTCCCAGGCCAATGGGGCTGCGGGCAAGGGATGTGCTGGCTGCGGCTTCCATCCCTTGCCCGCAGCCCCATTGGCCTGGGACGGC